CCCCTCACACACCCCAGAGAAAAGTTTGTACATTTAAAACATGCTCCCAAAATACATCTGGTCTGCTGGTCTGCAGAGAAGGAAGGATGCATCTCCGAAGAAAAGGAGAACTAGGAATTAGGATGACCTCAAGTAATGCTATAAAAGGCCAAAATACATCTGGTCTGCTGGTCTGCAGAGGAGGATGTATCTCTGAAGAAAAGGATAACTAGGAATTAGGATGAACTCAAGTAATGCTATAAAAGGCCCTTTAGTGATATAACCAAGAGGAGCAGAAGCTCCAATCTCAGCTCTTCAGTGCTGAAAGCTTTGTTTTTAAAATCCAGCAAGCAGAGTGCCAAAGAGAGGGTAAAGCTTTGTTTTTAAAATGCAGCAAGGCAGAGTGCCAAAGAGAGGGCTTCTCTGTAAGAGTAACAGGCAAAATAACTGGAGTGCAGAACCCTGCCATCAAATGACAAGCTGATGCTTCTGCCACAAAATTGCATTGCAAACAGGAAGTGTTTGCAGACGTCTCAGAAGGAGAAAGAATGAGGGGAGTGAGAAGATTGTGAATATCCTCTTGCAACAGCGTCTGGCCCACCCAACATCAGCATAGCATCACGCGCAAAAGCTGCCGTGGACAGGAGGTGCTGGGGTGGCCAGTGGACTGCCAAGTCGCCTGCAAGCTTCTCAGGCTGGCCCCAAATGTCCAAAGCATTCATCACACTCTTGAAAATCTCCACAGCTCTGCTTTAGTGTGTAACCAGCTGAACCTCTGCCAGTGCTGCTGCCCAGCACCGTGACCTGCCCTTGTCGAAGAAGAAGTGCACGCTGCCCCCATATTTCTTGCATTGTTAAACGAATGAATCACTGCCTTTCACTAGTTCTGACTGTACAAAGGGTCTGTCTCATTCGTGGCTCCCAAGAAATCACATCCCAGAGAAGCCTGACAAAAGGGAGGCTGATGCAGAAAAAGGAGATTCAGCCAGATGCAGGCTTAGAGACGAAGACCTCTTTAAACCCACACTTGCTTTAATTTTTCTAAGCTACTTGGGCCTAACAGGACATGGGAGAGGTGCTGTTTTTTGGTTTCTTCTCACTCCTAAATCTAAAAACTGGGACTCCTCACTAGAAAGTCCACACCTGGAGAGCTCCAACCATAGTACAGCACTCAGACCTGCTTCACATGTACATGTATTCCCTCCACATGCTTGGTTGGCCTTCCATAATCACATATGACGAACAGGCACCTCTAGAGGCAGGAATCCCCTCTGTCACGGGATTCATGTGGACTATCTCTGGCCACCTAAATGTAAGGTTGGGACAGTTGTTTGGGCTTATGAGGCAGTCAAGAGAGACTGAACCTCTCAAGGACAGTTCATCTCATCCCTACGGAGAGATTTTCTCCTTTCCACAAACATTCAGAACTTGCAAAAACTAACCCCCACAGTCTTAGCGTAAAATGAAGGCTGAAGCAATACACTGTCTGTCCTTGCTTAAGTGTGAAACCAGCTAATGAATTCCTCAGGACTTAGAAACACTTAAAAGCAGGGTAACAGCCGTCCTCTGGTTGCAGCATACTCATACATACCTACAAGATATTGCCTGAGGGAAGGAGTTCTCCCATGTGGTTGGTTCTATTTGGGGCTTGGATGCCAGGCAATAAATAGGCACATCAAAAAATGAGATACATAGTACCAGAGGCAAATGTGTCCCATTTTCTTAGGGTTTAACCCTGATTGCATCACACAGGAAAATATGTTAATCTTAGACTCATCCAGACTCATAAATCATCTCCTGTTGCATGTGAGTCACTGGCACTGAAAGCCTATTTAGCAATGTCAGACTCTTCTTTGGCTATTAAGTGCTAATTATTTACATTAGCAAGCATCAATCAAAGAAGATGACACCATTATGGGGTGTATATCAATGCTAAAGAAGTTTCTCATAAGGAACAGTCCTGAGGAAGGCAGAAGACAGAGTAATGCTGAGCTGTCATTTTCTGGAGCTGAGGGCCACTGTGATAATATAGGTCACAATCAAATTCTACAAAATAATTAATGCAGAGGCTGTTGTGATTCAAGTCTCCCCTGATTAGAAAATCATCTCTCCATCCCCCTAAATCATGATCAGAGCAGACAGGTAGTAAATTGACTACCAGTCAATCTGACAAATGAAAACAGAGAAGGTGTAAAGCACTTAGCACTTTGAGACAGGGGCGTCCTGCCCACCACCACCAGGTACTCCTAAACAGGCAGCTCTTGCTGGGACGTTTCTTAGCTCTTTCTCACTGGGATGAGATCTTCTTGGTTGCCCCTGGCTTTCTGCTGCTGGGTACAGCTTTTTCCTGCAACCTAGCCCATATCACAGCATTCTAACAACTGGATTCTCTAACAATTCTAACAATTGGATTCTCTAACAATTCTTCTCCCCATTGCAATGTGTCCTGCCTAGGTCAGACCACACTCAACCTTGCCCAGGACACACTTGCTTTTTTTATAAAACTAATTGTGCATTTTCTAGCTTATGTGCCCGGGCTGTCTGGCTTCTGCTTCCCACCTGTCCTGCTGATTTCAAGGACTCTCACTGTCTGCTTGGCTAATTGCTTCCCAAGGGAGGCTGCAGAGAAACTTGGAGATCCAGCAAGGCCTCTCCATCTTGGCCTCTACAGCTGTTGTCTGGAGGTGCATGTCCTGTCGGGGTTTGCTCTCCTGCAGCCTCATTGTAATTCACGCTAGGATCTCAAGAAGGGACCTTAGTCTGCTAGTGGGAAAATCAAGACTGTGGAGAGGAGACTTGGGCTCACATCTGACCCCTGAAAGCCATACGGACACAACGGTCTGAAAACACTTTTGATGTGCAATGTTCTGTTACAGTGGTCCTGAGAATACTGAAGAGCAATTCTCAGGCATGGCAGCAGAGGCAAAGTTTAAGAAGGGTTTTCAAAGGGTAAAGTGTTTTCTCAGTGGTGCTGGGAGGTTCTCTTGCAAAGCACTGCTACGGGACAGAAAACGTGTGTGCTTCTGAGGTAGAGTGGCTGAAAGAGTCCAGACAGGGTGACTTGCACTGCTCGGAGGCCACCCCCACCAGAACCTACCAGTGCTGAGTTCAGTCCATGCCACTCTCAGCCCCTCCACCTCCCCGTCCCTGGGCCATCCTTACCAAAGGCTCCAGCTCCCGATGGTCAACGAGGCTGAACTCCCTGATGAAGTAGTAAAAGTGCTTGTAGCAGGTGTTGACGTGGGCCTCAGCACCCATGTTGATGATGCTGTCAAAGTGGTGGATGTATACATGGACAAAGACACGGAAGAGGCGGGTGAGGATCTTGGTGCAAACTTGCTGGAACTGCTTGGGGAAGGGCACACCTGCAAAGCAGAAGCAAGTTAGAAGCCGTTTGACCATTTCAAAAAAGAAATGGCTAGCTTGTAAATGTCGCTGTCACACTTAACAGGCAGTTATGGATGATGACCAAGGGAAGGACTCTCTTGTCGCATGTCAAGAATAACACCTACACTGGGGCAATGTGCCATTGAGCTCTCCCCACATACTTCTTCATTGCCCGACTAGCAATTTCACACGGGTGGGATCTGAGGAGTTGGGGAGTTGCCCTAGGAAAGAAAATTTCTTATCCAATGGAGAAGACCACATCTGGCTCTATCCAGAGCAATCTGGCACAGGATCCTTCTGCCTTCTCTCCCTGCCTTCCTCCTACAAGTCTGTGCAAGCTCAGCGTAAGTGTAATTGCATTTACCCTGGCTCACGAACAAAACTAAACCTCCTCCCAGCAGAAAAGATACCTTCCCTGGTCCTCTGAATCAAAGGCCTGGTTCATACTGTTTTTCTTCCTCCACACACCCTCAAACATCACTTTTGATGCATCAACTGAAACAGGTGGGGTTTCTGCCTCTTTTCCTGATACTTGTTTCAGACAAACTTCTCACTAAAACAGGAAGAAAACCACCCATCTTCATGATGCTTAGGTTGAAATTTCATATGATGCTCCCTCCTGACATGTCGTTCCAGGTTGTTCAAGAATGGGACCCACCACACAATGCTCTGTGCTTTTAGCCTTGCTCCACAGGCAGACACAATTTAGTACTTTATGTTTCCATCCTCGTCTAAATGCACTGCTATCACAGTGAAAACCCCAGAGGTGCGATACGCTCAATGTCAGCAAGTTTGGGGTAATTATCTAAAGGAAACATGGCTTTGAAACTCCAAACATATTTTTGGGGAGGAGCAAAATGAAACAACTGGAATTTGTTTTCCTGAAGCTTCTTCCTTTCCCCTGAGGAATTCAATGCAAATTTGCAAAGAACAAAATAAAAACCTCCCTTCCCACGGTGGCACCAGCCTCCTCCCTGAGCTCCTTATTAACGAAGCACATAACCTCTTAAAAATCCTTCCAAATAATCTCCACTCAGCCACAGCCAACTCACATATTTTGCGCTGTGGAAAGCATCAGCAAATCTCTTAGCTAAAGAAAAAATTAAAAATGGTAATTTTATCTTTGAATCTTTCCCATCAGCTTCACTAGGCAATTAAACTATTTTTCCCAAAGGCTTCTGGCAGTTTTGTTTCCCAGCAGCAGTGCCATGCCCCTCTCCTCCGCGGGTGGCAAATGCAGAGGATCCATCCCTCCAACATCACGCGTGGAGCCTGTGTTTCTGATGGCTGGGTTCTGTATCACAACAGAAAACAGTCTTTGGTCTAAAATAGAGTCACCCTCAGCCCAGTCCAGCCTCACTTTGCTCCGTGCACAGCGTGGGTGTGGTGGGCAGGGCAGAACGGGTGGGTATCCCAGCCACCACTTGCAGGAGGACACGTCTCTCGGATCAGCATCATGCCAGCGCAGAGAGATGGTTCTGAGACTGGTTCATGGCCAAGAGCTGGTTCTGAGACTGGTTCTCGGCTGCTGCTCTGTGTAATCCCGAGCATGCTGCACCCCCAGGGCTGCTCCCCCAGCAGGGACCTCGATGGGACCCGTTTTGCTGCCAGCTCTAACAGATCCTGTTAGGATTTTCTGGGAAAGGTGTTTGCATCTGGCAAAGCACAAGCAGGCTCTCCCCGTGCCAGCAGCTCAGAGGTGGTACTGAGGATCTGCTTCTGCCCTGTGATCTTGAATGTGGAGCTCTCCTTGCCTTCTAGTCTGATAAGGGCAGGGATCAGAGAGAGACCTCTGGGTTTTCTGGCTGACAGGAGGGACATAGTGCTTTATCAACAGCTTCATTTGAGCTTTTTGCACTGACAGAGAATTTGCTGAGCAAATGGAAGCCACAATCACCCAGTTGTGGACTCATACACGCCGTTAGGGTGGCCCCTGCAGACCAGCTTTGAAGAACCAGTAAAGAAACATGTTCTTTAATAAAGAAAAATTCATCGCAGCAAGTAATTTCTGATTGCTGGGCCCCGGCTGAGGAATACACACTGTTCTGAACAGGCTGTTTCCCTGGGACCAGAGGCGAGCAGTTGCTGCCAGGAACTCAGCAAGATGCCAGCAGGCAGACAGCAATCAATTTGTTGCCCCCAGTTTGTCACCCATCCCACTTGCCCAGTGCTTCCTCTGGTCAAAGCAAGGACCGAGGATGAAATCAGACCTGATCAGCCACTGGGAGTTCATTGCCAAACTGCAAACAGTGATAATGAAAGAAAGCAGCAAACCTCAACCCAGTCCTGAGCTGAGAAAGAAATAAGATCAGACAGTGAACACAGAATCATAGAATTGTCAGGGTTGGAAGGGACCTTAAAGATCTAGTTCCAACTCCCCCGCCATGGGCAGGGACATCCCCACTAGATCAGGCTGCTCAGAGCCCCATCCAGCCTGGCCTTAAAAACTTCCAGGGATGGGGCTTCCACCTCCTCTCTGGGCAACCTGTGCCAGGGTCTCACCACTCTCATGGGGAAGAACTTCTTCCCAACGTCCAATCTAAACAGATCCATCTCTAGCTTTAATCCATTCCCCCTGGTCCTATCACTATCTGACATCCTAAAAAGCCCCTCATCAGCTTTCTTGTAGCCCCTTGAGATACTGGAAGGCCACGAACAGCAGATCAAAAGCATCTCAGCCCCCCAGCATTAGACCCAGCATCTAAGGTCCAGATACTGCTGTTAGATGAGCCACCTCCAGAGCTGGCAGACGGTGACAAGCGGCCTTCCGCCACATTTGTCCTGATGTTAGCCAGGAACTGTCGCGTCCTGTAAATCAGTTACTGGCAAGTCTTTATGGACATGCTGGTAGCTGAGAGACTTAGAAGGTAGACACCTCCAGTTACATCCTGGGTTCTCTAAAAGCAGCTCTCACATCATAGAACAGAGATGTAGCATAAATCACAGAATCACAGAATAGTTTGGGTCCTTTAAAGGTCATCTATTATAAATCTTGTGGCTGTTGGCAACTGTGGAAGCTGCTGAGCTACCCTATACCTAGTGATGCCTGGAAAGATAGCATCAAGTTGCCAGGACCTACAAGTATCTTTCTGGACTACGCCACCCCTGTGCTTTCACATGAACCCAGCATCAGCTCCCAGGTGAAGCTGGGCTGCTCTTCTCTGTGTCCATCACAAGGTGTCAGCGTGTGGCCACCCCCTCCAAATATGGCCAGGCTGTAGTGGTGGCTGTCACTCATGGACTTCTCCAGGTCACACCTCACTCTACCATGTGCTGACACCACGACCCACTTTGTGGGTCCTTTGTGTTCAGGGATCACGGGGGTCCAGCTCTGGCTCTTTTTCCCATGTCACCCCTTTCACACACATGCCCAGGGAGGCACCAGCAGCCCCAGCAGCACAGGGCACAGCCCTAGGCCATCAAGTCCTGCTTCTTCTCCCCATGCTGCAGCCACACCTGCATCTCCTGTGCCAGGATCCCCCAAAAAATCTACAGATGCTCGACTGGACCCTGCATCTGGCACATGGACCTGTGCCAGCTGATCAAAGCACTCCCCCACGGGAAGGAAGCAGGGTGGATAGCTGATAAGCAGGTTGCCTCTGCCAGCAGCAGTCGTGCCTTGCTGCTAATCTCCAGTGACTCAGAAAGCAATCCACAGCAGCTCCAGAGGGCACTGGCCACACTGGCGAGGGGCTGGAAAAATTCCCCATCCCCTCACCCAGAGCTGAACGGAAAGGGCTGTCCAGGAAAGGCTGCATCTGTCCAACCCGGGGAGAGCAGCAGAAATACAACTTGCCCTGGGTCGCAGCTGCTGCAGCGGATGTCCAGTAGACAACAAGTGTGACATCTTCTCCAGCACACGAGGGGACACAGTGAGAGCAGGCTGTGCCTCCTCCCTGCAGTCAGGCACGCGTTGCAGCCAGCACGTCCCAGCAAGGGGAAAGCCCTGGGTCAGGGATCTCGGCACTGGCCACGCACTCATCCGGTCTTGCAGATGTTTAGCTTTAAACCAAGGAGCCAGGTCCCCCTATATGTTCATGTCAGATCTGCCCTGGCTGCCAGAAGGGTTCACGAGCAAGCAGAGAGCAATGGAACCCGTTCCCCAAGGACAGAGGGTGGCAGGCTGCTCCCCTTATGGCTTCCACCTCCCTGCCAGGCTGGACCAGACAGATCAGCATTACAGCCGGCGGCAGAGAGACCCTGTTAGCGCTCAATGCGCTGTTAAGCGGCACTTGGGAGTGGGGCAGTGGTGGCCCTTGCTTGGGGGACTTCATCTCGGAGGTGGTGCGTGGTGGCACAAACCAGCAGCAGCAGCAGCTTGGTGAGACAAGAGGAATGAGGCTGGTGGGACCGATTCTACATGGCGGAGATGACCTGTTAGCAGAAGTATGGCAGGCCAGGGCAAAGTCAAGGTGGAGCCACAAGTTTTGACAAGCTACCCTGGCAGGGTGAAGCTGCCTGGGCTTGCTTCACCCTCCCCAACCCTACACACATACACGGACCCAGCAGCTCCATCCCACTGCATCCCACTGATCACAGAATCATTTACGCTCGAAAAGACCTTCAAGATTATTGAGTCCAACTGTTAACCTAGCAATGCTGTTCCCAGCTATCCCAAGGGACATCAGAATACCACAAAACCCACCTGGGCTGATTTAAAGGCATTGAAATTACCTTTATATTTAATTCATTGGTGTCTCATCATCCAGCAACCTTGGAGAAAGCAGCAGCAAACCCATAATCTGTCTCTTCTTTCATGATGAGTGATGAGGAAGGGACCATAAAATGCAACGTGAGCTTTCTCAGATGGCCAGAAAAAGATTTCTATGCGAGGTCAGCTCCTCTCCCTCCACCCATGGGCGCGCACTACCCAAACGCTGCACACAGACCCAAAAGCTGTCCCAGGGTGAGAATGCAGCCAAATCCCAGGAGGAATGGAGCAGAGCAGTCAGACCCATGGCAGAAAAGGGAGAACCTTAACCCATGCTCCAAGCCAGGGCAAAAGCCACAAGCAGAGTCATAAGCTGTGGTACAAAAGCCATCAGCACAGGTACAATTCCACACGCTGCAGTGCAGCCAGGGCGCGGGCAAGCAGTGTGTGACTCGCAGCCCTGAAATGAATTAGCACCTTCAGTTTATTTTGGATATTTCAGCTTGAAAACCCCTAGATGTGACTGAATGCTCCAAGAAATCTGCTTTCCCCACTCTGTGCTGATTGCTTCAAAACGTAAAAAAACCACGTGGGACTACATGTAAAAGGAAATGAAAATGAAAGGTAACAAAGTGCCTGCGCTCATGGTAAAGGACTGCAAATGGCTCTTGGACTCCTCCTGTCCCTAACCCTCGTGCACCAGCCAATTTAATTTTTTTGTGATGAATCAGTACTGGGAAGCTACTTTGCTTCTTGGCAATTGCATTTTTTTCCTCTGCAAAAGCTGTAATTCAATGAGCTACATGATGAATTATTGTTGTTGTTATTATTTCACAATTCTATTTTGGCCACCATGGTGTTCGGTGATTCATTTTTTTCCTAAAAATAAGTCTTCAAAGCCCCATATAAAACTAATGGCGTGATGGCAGCTGCAAGCTGGTGTGGTGTTAATTTTGGAAGAAAACAGGCAGGGAAAAAAAAAGACAAATCATGTAAAAAACGGCTACCTGAGCGAATAGCAATAATTAGCTGAATTCTGAACATATTTTTACTGTTGTTACAGGGAGAAAGTATCAGATGATTTCACACCAAGTTTTCTCTGTTTTTTAATAACTGTTTCGGGACAACACTCGAATGGCAGAGCTTGAGTTTTGAAAAGCTTTCCAAGAATTGTTCCAAAAATGTCCTGTGATTGATGCTCTTTAGAGCTGCAGGCACACTTGGCAGCGCGCAGGGTGTTTCCGGCGCTGGGTCTGGTCCAAACCCTGCGTCTGCACTGATTTAACAACGGAGAGGTTTCAGCAGCCGTGATGGTGCTGAGGTGGGACGCCTGGCCTTGTGCAACGAGCAGCCTGATGCTGGGCTGATGGGTGCAGACTCAGCAGACTGCTGCAGGCCCTGCAAACCCCATCCACCCAGCCCTCCTCCCCAGCAGCAGCTCCCCAAAACCAGGCACCATGGAGAAGAAAAATTACTGAACGGAGCCAGTTATTTCCCAGGTGGTAATCTGTTCAAGCGGCCACTCACTAAAGAAATCTACTGATACAGTTTTACCAGCTGCCAAAAATACACCTGTAGAATCATTTATTCTTCTCCCTGCATGGGAACAATGCTTATTTTCCATTTAAATGTATTTTTCAGGACAGCTACACTGCTTGGAATTGTGGAAACAGAGCGCTAGCACCTGCAGACTGACAACGTGTCATCTGGAAAAGCTGCTGCTGCTGCAGATTTATAGCGATCAGGCTGGCATAGCTCACCACATGCAGGGATTTGTCTCAGCTTGACAAACGGACAAACAGGTTTCCACTCCAGAGGAGGGATTATACAATGAAACCTTTAAATGGGACCAAGCCCCACAGGCAGATTTTTTCCCTGGGGATGAGAAAGACGCAGCATCTCTCCCCAAGCCTTGCCGTGACAGGCAGAGTGTCGATTTACCCCAGCCAAGGTCTCCCCTGTGATGCCAAAGGACCCTGTGAGGCCACAAGCCAGTGAATCATCTCTGCTCATTTCCAGCTGAGCCTCTCACCCCAGAGCAAAGGATTTCCCCACTCTGACCCACGAGATACCTCTCCCTTAACTGTCAGGACAACCATCAGCGGGTGCCCCTGAATCATGTGCTGCTTCAGGCTTTGTGCCTTTTGGACAGAGAATGATGCTGAGTTTAGCCTCAAGCAACATTAGCAAGTTTGAGGAACATTTGCTGTTCCTAAAGCAAAACAGAAACAAACAAACAAACAAAAGTCTGTTTTGTCTGTGGTCGGGTGGGCTTAGCCAGGGAAATCTTTGTGCTGGGACAGTTTTATTGCATGTGGCAAAGAGGGAAAGCTGAGATGCACCCAGCTCGTGAAACACTGTCTGAGACAGCGGCCAGCCATGCCAGTGAACCTCTCTGGTGCAAGCAGGAGTGGAACAAACCTTCATGCTAAATCCCATCTCTGCTGCTAATAATGAAGAGCCTCATCGTGACTCCAAAGCATGAAATTTAATTTTCCCCCATCATCTCAACAGACTCCTTCCCCATCCTTAAAATCTCTCATACCTCCCCTGTGTCCTCTTGGTGCCTTATTCCCCTTGTCCTGGCTCTTTTCCCAAGGGGCTGGCTCTTTAGGACTGAGGCTGAGTTCATCCTGTCAGTTGGCCCCAAGCCTCACGTTCCCCCTCTGCTGCGTGATCCCCAGCCTCCCCCGCCATCTGGCACAACAACGAGGAGCAGTCCATTTGGGCAGATGTGACATTTCCCTCTGGCAAAACGTCTCCATCTTCCGAAATGCCAGAGCTGCCAAACAATTACGCAGCACACAAGGCAGGCCAGTGAAAGGCAGTTAATTAGGGTCACGCTGATGACAAAGTGTCGCCAGCTCCCTCCTCCTCCAGCCTCCCACAACAGCCTTTCATGGGTTTTAAAGTGTGATCTCAGGCTAAGCCCCTTTCACATGTGTGAGGCTGGAACCACTGCGACATGCCAGCAAGGGGACAGAAGTCACTTGGGGATGGAAGGGTCCTTGCAGCAAAGAGGCTTGGAAGAGGGACCCTGGGAATGACCTTGGAAGAGAAAAAGTGGGTTTGACCCACGACTGCCTGTAGCCAGCCCAGAACTGCCCCCGTGCTGAAATGCAAGTAGAAGTGGAAACCAGAGGCACGAGCCATGTCTCCCCCTATCAGGAAGTGTTACACCTCAGCGGGAAAAGTGCCAGAAATGGAGTGAAAACCAGCAGGACCATGACTGTACTTGGCTCTTGTGCCTCAGAAGGAGACACGGGAGAGCAGAGGGTGCTCGCTGTCCCTCTGTGGCTGCCTGCCTTCTGCAGTGCTATGATGCCCTGTAGCCCTGACTCCCCAGAGCAGCTTTCAAGCAGCATCACATCCCAAATCCCGCCTGAAAGGCATGAAATTGGACCAGGATACTCTCTTCTGCGGCTGGAGGGAAAATAGGTAAATCCACCAGGGCACTGGCAGGGTCACCTCACCCCGGTGACTGGAATGAATAGTTTGGCACAACCTGTCTGCAGACGCTGTCTCCCCTCTTGCTTGCAAAGAGACACTTGTAGCCTCCACAAGTCAGAGACTTTCCCAAAAAAGACACACAACTTGATTCCACAGCACAGCCAAATAGGGCTACAACAGTTAGTGGCTGCCAGTAATCCCACATAGACCATTTTCTTCAATATTTCCCAACGTATTAATGAAAATCCTGAGCCTAACTGCACTGACCTCGTATGGCTCTGTCAGCTGTGCCGCTTGGGAAAACAAAAAAGGTCAAGCAGACTTGCAAAGCCATGCTTTTCCCAGAGAAGCTCCTTCAATCTTCCTTTACATTCAAGTAGCTTTGTGTTCCACTTGAAAAGCAACTGCTCCAAGGCACAGCCTGAGCCTCCAGCAGCCTCAGCAGCCAACGCATCAGCTCCAACCCTTGAACTCATCTCCCCAGACGACAAGAAAGCAGCTAAGTAGCAGGGCTAGTACTAGCCCTGGCAGCTGCCAAGTGCTGCAGGTCAGCAGCACAGAGGTTAGTTTGCAGGCTGTGCTGCCTTTGGCAGCTGCTGCAAGCTCCTAAGGCCAAACCTTTGGAAGGGATGATCATATACCCCTGGGGGTCAGCAGCTAGAAAGGTCAGATCCCAGTGTCAGGCAACTCTGCTTAGGTGATGCCTCAGCTAAATAGCAAGATGTGATGTATCGTATCAGGGCAGAGACGAACTAGCAGAGATGGAAATTAGCTGAGAAGTGAAGCAGCAAAGTGGGACAAGGATTAGACCTGGGGACCATTAGCCTAGAAAACCAGAAAGAAATAGAGTTGGTTTGTCGAGAGAAGAGTGTGAGGCAGGGATGTGATGACTACCTCTAACTAACCTTGCAGCTCAGCTCCTTGAGAAAGGGCAAGGAAGATTATGACCTACCAGCCCTCATTCCTCACAGGCATGGAATACTTGGAAAAAGTTGAAGCACGGAGAAGGAGAACATTATTTTCCACATTCCCTAGGAGCAGGACAAGAAATTCCAAGCTCAATTTGCAGCAAAGGGGTGTGAGACAGACACTGAGGAACACCTGCAACAGGAAAGGTCATGATCCTTGGGATCTCAAAGTTCAGCAATACCAACCATGAGGTGCACCAGCAGCTTGGGAACCTGCACTGGTTACAACCCCAACCTTCTCATGAAAAAACAGAGCACACTCACCTATCCTGGTGGGGAAGATGTCCTCGTTGTTGATGAGCATCTCGATCCAGTCCATCAGCATACACATGTACTGTGGAGCCGACAGCTTGGTTGGCTTCTTATATTTGCTATCGTCCTGCCACCTGTACTCATACTTGAGTCCACCAGACATGATGGGGCAGCTCTTTTCCGTGCAGTACTCTGACATGGTGCCGTAGATGAGGTTGATGCGATTGAAGAAGTCCACCACATGCACAGCAATCCAGTCGTTGATGCTCTCTCCAGGAGGCAGCTGCACCACCGCTTTCAGGTCCAGCCCAGACTTGAGGGAGGCCTGGGCTTTCTTGTACAGCTCGAAGCGTTGGGTGCCTGGCTCAAACTTCTTTCGGGGACGAAAGGTTTTGTCTTTGTTGAAGACTTGCTTGAGACACAACGCCATCGCGGGCAGGGCCTGCCAGGGTGAGGGCAGAGGCTCAGCACAGTGTGAAACCCAAGGCTGGGGTCTTCAGGGCTGGAGGCTTCTGGGAGGAGAAAGAGACAGATTTTAGTCACATATGAAGCCAGCTGCATGGATGGGCGTGCTCGCAAGAATGAGTTTGCAGCAGGATGCTGGCTGGCCCCACTGCTCTGGTGGCACACGGTGATGAAGATTTGGGGTGAGCTCCCAGCCCTGCCTCTCCCAGCCAGGGTGACCTGGTGCAGCCCCCCCGGCCAGGTGGACCGGGAGCAGCTGCTGCCACCTCACACAGCAGCTCCTGGCACTGAAGAGAGTGACCACTGACACACATGCCCCAGGTAAGGCTTGACAGCAGGCAGAGCCCTTCCTCCCTCCTGAGCACACCGGGAGCTCAGCGGGCTTCAACCAGCTTCTAACGTCCAGGGCTATCACCAATAACTGCTGCAATAAGGTGAGAGCTGCGTTATCAGCAGAGTTCACCAGTCCCAACTTGGTGGCCCTTTCCTCTTCCAGCAAAGGGGAAGCTTCTTTTTCCCAGGGATTTCTCAGTACAAACAACCCCTGACCCTGCCGCGGCGGCTGGCGCGCGATGCCCCGGGGACCGAGCTGCGA